GCTTGACCCTAGAGACAGGCACCTCACGGCTATGCATACGCCATTGGGACTGATACAGATGATGGTTGTCCCTGTGGGTTGGACTAATGGGGTAGCCGTTTTTCAGAGAGCCATGGTAGCCGTCCTCAAGGACTTCATCCCTGATAAGGTTGAAGTTTTTCTGGACGACTTTCCTATAAAAGGGCCAGTAAACAAGGATGAGGCAGAGGTTGCACCTGGAGTTAGAAGATTCGTCGAGCAGCACCTAACGGATATTTGCGCGGTACTCGAGCAGCTGGATGATGCGAATCTAACAGTCAGCGGAACAAATGCCGATGGGCCGTCTCAACTATTAAGATCTTGGGCTTTATCTGTGACTCGAGGGGACGCCGAGCAGATCCGACGAAGTTAAACAAACTCCTGAACTGGCCGTCACCATTACATAGTCCAACCGAGGTCCGACAGTTTCTGGGAGTGGTCGGTTATTGGCGTGTGCGGAGAAGGATCAGCCATTGAGGGTATGCGGAGAAGGCTCAGCCATTGAGGTTACTCCTTCGAAAAACTGAGAAATTCTACTGGAATTCCTCGCAGGAACTCGCTATGCAAGAGCTTAAAGATGAATTTAAGGAGGGAGGACGCGTACTAGGCGTGCCGTACTTTGATGATGAGGCTGGGAGACCCTTCATAGTAGCCACGGATGTTGGGCCTTGTTCGGTAGGAGGGTTGCTGTCTCAAAAGAACGCTGAAGGGAAGGAAAGACCGTTAAGATTTGAGAGTAGGACACTTAATACGGCAGAGCGAAACTATAGTCAATTCAAGAAGGAAGTATTAGCTGTTCTGCGGTGTCTAGACACGTTCAGACATTATATCTATGGACGACGGTTTATCTTGAGAGTGGATCCCACCGCGGTCGCCTCTGTCCTCCAGAAGGACTTTAGCCTGACAGACCCGACCATTGCCCGATGGTTAATACGGATTCGACTATATGATTACACAGTAGAGAGGATATCTGGCACTAAAAATGTCGTAGCGGATGGACTCTCTCGGATTCCTCTTGAGGGAGAGCGCCCGATAGTAGCTAGAGCACTGACAATGGCGGAGCCGAGACGCGCCGAGAGATTTCTCGTTAACCTTTACGAGGGCAAGTATCGAACAATCGGGCTACACCTGATGGGAGAGGAGAGTCGAGATTTAGATATCCGGAGACAAGCAGCCCAGTACTGCCTTAGAGCGGGCCACCTTTTCCGAAAGGCCAGTAGGCTTGAGGATGCCCTTACGAGTAGTCTGTGACCCTGAGGAGAGACAGACAATAGTTGCAGAGCTTCACGACGGGGTAGTCGGAGGACATAGAGGAGTCAAAGGGACCTACGAAAAGGTACGCAGGCTGTACTGGTGGGAAGGATAGTATAAGAACGTCGAGAGATATTGTATGACCTGCGAAGAATGCCAGAAGAGAGCTCTTGTGAAATACAAAGAGCCACTTCATGCATCTTATCCAACCCGACCAAGAAAGAAGATACACATCGATCTGGTGAAGATGCCGAAAGGGGTAGGCAATATGAACTATGTTGTGAACATACGAGACGACTTCACGGGGTTCGTGGACGGTAGACCTATCAGGAGTAAGACGGCAAGGGAAGTAAAGAACTTTGTCCTAGAGTACTTATCTAGGTATGGTTGTGTCAGCAAGATAGTGATGGATAGAGGGGCGGAATTCCTAGCCGACGAGGTTCAGAGCGTGTTCAGGAGAGCTGGGGCGAGAGTTTCGATAGCCACTGCCTACCACCCACAGTCGAACTCCCCAGTAGAGAGAGGGCACCAGACCCTGATAGCGTCGCTATCTAAGTGGTGCAAAGGCAAGGACAGTGATTGACCACGATATTTTCGATACGCAATTTGGGCGGACAACGTCATGGTCCGGGCTAGCACGGGATACCCTCCATACACCTTGTGGTTTGGGCGACATTGTCCGCTTCCCATAGAGTTTCACGTCGACAGCTGGACAACCGTYGACTGGGCGGAGGAGATGTCCAGAGAGGAACTCATAGCTGCCCGAACAAGACAGATAGCCTACGGTTTAGAAGATAACCTTATGACAGCGGCAGATCGTCTGGCAGTGGAAAGAGACAAAGGTAAAGAGAGATGGGATAAGAACGTGAGAATCAGGAAGGAGAGGGTGAGTGAAGGAGATATGGTCCTTCTCTACGATGCAGCGCTGGAAAGAACCTGGACCAGAAAACTCGCCAACAGATGGATGGGATCTTACAGAGTGGTTGAGGCACTCGACTGGGGTGCATATATGATAGCAGAATTAGACGGATCCAAGTGGAAGGACCCAGTGGCAGGTGCTAGGTTAAAGCTGTTTAGGTCCAGGCCCGCACCCATCTTATCGCTGACAAGCCCGAAAGGGAAGGGAAAAACCATAATGGAGGATGGAGCCCCCTTGAGGCAATTCGAGGCAGGGGAGAGTTCCAAGAAAAGGAAAAGAATAGAGAAGAGAAAGGTCAAAGGGTAAGCTTTAGGAAGAGAGAAGAGATGGTTATTCGTGCTCAAGCGAGCTAGACGGAGAGTTCGCGTTAGACGTACTGGCGGATCGGCACCCTTCTCGGGGCAAAGACAGAAGAAAAAGAGGATCGTGCCGGGGCCAAAAACCAGAAGACACAGGAGAGTCAAAAAGCATCTTCTTAGCCCCGGGACTCATAACAAACTGAAACATAAGACAATTGAACGCCGACGTGGGCGTCCTTTACGGGCCATCACCCTGAAGCTCGTCCGCTTCGTCTGACGTAAGTTGCTAGGGCTCGACGGGGGCGTCGAGAAGAGGTCCGGGCTAACTGTCAGGCGGCCACAAAGGATGGGCCGCCTGAAAGCTGCGGCTTTGGGACCTAGGCTCAAAAACAAGTGTGTGTTTTGATGGTACTCTGGTTTCACGAGGCAGCAAAAATTAGGGGAACTCAGGGCACCCCTGATTTTGTGCGCATTGAACCTTACGAGTAACCCTCAAAGATGGCAAAATGGGTAGCCGCTCCCGGCACATCTTGGAACCGTCACTTCCGCCCGTCCTGAGGCTAGACCTGAAATGGCCGGCCGCTAAGAGACATCGTGGTGACTGACCCCGCGGTAACGCCTTTTGCAGCACACGATCGGGGCCGAGTGATGCCTCGAATTTTTGTCAATTTTGATGCCGAAATTAAAATGGAAGAGACGGTTAAAGATGATGGGATGAGAGAGAAAAACAAAATATTCTTTGATTTCTATAATTTCCATGGCATTTAATTTTAGTAGAAACTCCGTCGTTATTTTACGTTTCCGGCAATGAGATCAAAACTGAAGAAAACAGATTAAACATGACAAAAAAAAAGAAAAACAAAAGAATTTCAATCATTTGATTTAAAACCCCTCAGTGTTTATTTTTTGTGAAATTGCGACTATTATACTAATTCAGACAATAGAATTAGGAAGAGAGTGAAATGANACTATTATACTAATTCAGACAATAGAATTAGGAAGAGAGTGAAATGATTAAAACAAAGACGGAACGAACAGGAACTACTGACTATTCGATGCCTGGCCTGATTTTGTTTGGATTACCCACCGTCAGCTCGGAACCCCGAGTTGATCAAATTCTCTGAACTCTAACCCCTTTTGTTACTATCCCCTGATGATCGAGATTTTCCGCGTCGTTCTCTTGTTTTACCTGACTATTGACCCTCTGAGTCAGTCCGAGGATGATCACATGGGCAGCGTGAGACGGTGCTGCTTTGGACCAACGGTATGATATTTGGGTCGGTACGGACACCGGTTCGGAGGGGTTCCGGTTATAGTTCGGTGTTTTGGTTCGGGGTGAGCTCAGTATCAGTGCATTTCAGGTTCGGACATATCAGCGTGATGTATTGTCAGGCTTGGGGCTGCTACGGCGATCTATTTCAGCTTCGCCGCCGCCATGGCGGTTTATCCCGGGCACGGTGCTATCCCGGCCATTGATTTCGGATTCGGTATGACTCGACACCGACATATATTTTTTTCCAGCTCGACAAGGGCTCGACATCACCTTATTTCAGGCTCGAGCAGATCAGGGTGATTTATTATCCGGTTTGGAACCACCACATTGATTTATTTCAGGATCGGAACAGCTTCGACGTGACTCCGACCGTCTACTTCCGGATCAGCACCAACACGRCAATTTATTTCRGCATCGAAGYCATTRCCACATTAATTTTCTGGTTYGGTTTGGGRTCGRCTGRCACGGTACRGRCTATTTCAGTTCTCTGCGACAACGATCGGATGTGTGTGTGAAAAACGACTCCAAATGATTAGTATGATTTGGTACAGGTGCTACGGTCGGAGGCATTGTCACGGAACAGTTGTTGCAAAATACCGTGGCCAGTAGCTGCAGTCCCAGACGGCTATGTCAATGGGACTAAACGGTTCAATATTGAGGCCCTCTTCATCATCTTGGGTATGTACGACACTAGCGTGAGGCTTTGGTCTGTCACCGGACTGGTACGGTCCTTGGGCTAATACAGCCAGGTCACGGGGCCGCGGTACCATTATGCTCGGCACAGTTTCTGATTTGGTAACTAGGACAGTTCTCTTTGATTTCGATTGCAATGCCTATCGGTACCGTTGGACTGGAATTCCCACAGTACGGGGGTACCCAGGCCCTCAGCAGCATGTGCTCCGTAAAAGGCTACGGTCGCAGCATATAGGGGAAGGCAGCGAAGAGAGGAGGGACGCACTCAGTACGAGCAAGGTGTACCCGCGTATGCAAGCGCGGGGAAGACGTGCCAGCGCTGAGGCGGTTACTCCGCGTGTGAGGGAAGTGACGTGGGGGAAAGGAGCATGCAAGGTGTACCTGGCCCACAACATAGTGGGATCCAGGCAGGTCAACACGTAGGGAGCAGCATGCAAGGCGTTCCCCGCTCACGTAGCATGCACGAAAGGGGTCAACGAGGGGGCAGTTGGAAGGAACGTGGACCAGAGGGAGAATAATTGGGCGGGCCATACCAAGCGAGCACGGAGATCCACTGCGACTGCTGAGAAACTTTTTTCATTAAACTGAGCGAGTGGCGGGCGTGGAACGACTGTTCTTTTGCCGCTGTCAATGGGAACGGCCATAGCCTTCTTCCTGTTTACCGCGTGTCTGCTGTGCGAAGAGGCATGTTCACTTACCGCTGTCGAAGAGAGCAATCATAGCCTTCTCCCTGCTTACCACCTGTCTGCTGTGCGAAGAGACATGTTCATTTACCACTGTACACGAGAAGTTCGAGAACAACCATTGCCTTTCCGCTGAAACCGCCTGTCTGGTGTGTGAGGAGCCAGGTTCACCTACCGCTGTCGATGAGAACAACCATAGTCCCTCTGCTGATTACCGCTTGTCTGCGGTATGAAGAGTCACGTTCACTAGTCATATCCTTTTTGCTGCCTGCCGCATATCTGCGGGGTGAAGAACCATGTTCATTCCTCCTCTCCTTGGGGGAAGGGATCAATCATTTTCATTGATTGACAGGAGCATCCACTTTCGCTGAATAGATGGCCAAACACTCTTGCTGCTGATCTGGGACCTTCAATTGTTGAGAAGATCAGCCGCTCTCGCCCCGGGCCAGACCAGCTGCGTTTCAGGGAAGTGTGATTTCGCTTGGAGACGGATGACGCAAAAACAGTGCTGGGAGGACCAGCGCATGTAAGGCATTAAGGATTGACCTGGAGTGAGAGAGAGAGAGTGTGTGGCGAGAGAGAGGGGGTGTGCGGAGAGACTGAGAGAGAGAGTGGGAGGATCAGACTGCGCAACGTGCTCGAGAGAGAAAGAGAGAGACAGGGGACTGAGGAAGAGTGAGAGAGCTGATTGTGAGAGAGAGAGAGAGAGAGAGAGAGAGAGAGAGAGAGAGAGAGAGAGAGAGACAGAGAGAGTTAGTTAATAAGAGAGGGCAACGAGAGTGGTAGAGCAGGATCCCGAAGGACGATGGTGAACTGTTAGAAGACCTGGGAGATCTCCTCGCTGCTCTGAGCCTTGTGAGCTGGCCAGCAAATCATCTTAGAGGAAGCATCATTTTCGAGAAATTGCTGAAAAGAGCCTTGATTGGCTCGCTGCTCAACTCATTTTCAGGAAGGTATCATTTTGGAGAAAATATTGAAAAGAGCCTTAATTGGCTAGCTACTCAAATCATTTCCAGGAAAGTATCATTTTCGAAAAATCGTTGAAAAGAACCTTGATTGGCTCACTGCTCTGAGCCTTGGGAACTGGCCAACATATCATTTTCGGGAAATATTATTCTTGAGAAATTATTGAAAAGAGCCTTGATTGGCTCACTGCTCTGAGCCCTGCGAACTGGCCAGCAGATCATTTTCGGGGGATATCATTTTTGAGAAATTATTGAAAAGAGCCTTGATTGGCTCACTGCTCTGAGCCTTGCGAACTGGCCAGCAGATCATTTTCGGGGAATATCGTTTTTGAGAAATTATTGAAAAGAGCCTTGATTGGCTCACTGCTCTGAGCCTTGCGAACTGGCCAGCAGATCATTTTCGGGAAATATCATTTTCGAGAAATTATTGAAAAGACCCTTGATTGGCTCACTGCTCTGAGCCTTGGGAATTGGCCAGTCGATCATTTTCCGGAAACATCATTTTTGAGAAATTATTGAAAAGGGCCTTGATTGGCTCGCTGCTCGGAGTCTTGTGAACTGGACAGCTAATTATTTTCGGAAAATATCATTTTCAAGAAATTATTGAAAAGAGCCTTGATTGGCTCGCCGCTCCGAGCCTTGTGGATTGGACAGCAAATCATTTTCGGGAAATGTCGTTTTCGAGAAGTCGTTGAAAAGAGCCCTGATTGGCTCCTTGCTCTCTGCCAAATGAAAGCTAACGTTCCCTCTTTGGCGGCTTCGCCGCTCTTCTGATTGCGCGGAGGTGAGCTGATCCGAAGAGAACGGTAAGAGGATTGAACATTCCTGCGTGACACGGAGGGATCAATTCTGACCGAGATTACTGTGAAATTTTCGCAAAGGAAAAAATCTTAAAATGGCCTGTGGTTAAGGACCAAGAGTGACCTTGCTGAAAGGGATAACCCTGCTGGTCGCTGAGGACCTCGGAAGCGGGCGCGGCGAATTGACTGGCGCCGTAGTCCATGGCTTCAGCGAACGGTAGGTAGCTCCTCCCCGGGTTTCCTCACAGCGGTAAGAAGAGATTGAGAAGGTAGATAAGGTAAGGGAACAACGTACCTGAAGATAGCTTTCCCCAACCACAGATTTCTCACCAATTGAGCTGAGTGTGCATTTGATGACCGGTCATAGCCTTGATACCACTCACAACGCAATGCAGTGCCACCTCAGCCAAATGCCACATCAGCATGCTTTCATCACCAATCATACATTCCGCCGTCACCACGGCATCCCATGCCGTATAGCCTTCCGGCGCACACCTCTCTACCCAGGTCGTGCGCCTAATATGGCCTGACGTCACAAGAACCAACTGCGAAGAAGCATCGTCAGCGCACCAAGGTAAGTGGCGAATCGAAGCAGCTCCGATACCAAAATGCAAGGAACATGAATGTGGACGAAGCAAAAAAATCCAAATCGCAAAATCACACTGAAGTCCAAGTAGTCAAAGCAAGAGCAGATAGCACAATGGAACCAAGTAACCATCCATTTGAGAACGATACAGCAGAATCGTGAGTCAATGTCCAAGCCCTATCGGGCAACACCAACAACATAACCCAATGTAGCTCTCACTCTTGAATGGCGCCAGGCGCCCTATCTACTCTACCGCCTAATACTACAACTACAACATGGGAGCAACCAGACAACTTGACGACCAGCGAGTGATGACGTCAACACCAATGCCGACTTCCTCTTCACCAGGTACGTCTCTCTCTTCACCCTCACTCTCCCTTGTTATCCCACACAGCGCCCTTCACCTCTGAAGAACCACCTTCGCCCTTCACCTCCTCTGCGCCCACAGGCAGCCCGGCTATGGCCGCCAGCACCCTGCGCCCAGGCTGCGCTCTACCGCTTAGCGCTAGCCCGCCTCTCTCAGCCACTGCACAGCGCAAGTGCTAGCGCTACAATGCAGCAGCGTGCCCGCAATGCCTGCATTGGCCAAGATCCCTGCTCTCTCGCATAATCTGCCTATATGCCTTGCTGCGTGTGGGCGGCCTGCCTCGAGCCTGCGCCTGGGTCCCAGTAACTGCGCCCAGGCCCAACACCGATGTGGCTCAGGAAGTACAGTTGGGCCCCTTATGCCAGGGCTGTCGTCCAGATGCAGACCCTTTCAGGTTTCCCATTGGTTCACTCGGCCTCTACGACGGCAATGCTGCTTTACGATTGGCCAGCGTCCAATGTGTGATGTGTCGGCCTCCCCTGGCCTGTGCCCAGGGCTCAACCAACTGAGGCCCTGGGCTCAACTGCTTCTCGCAGGAGTCTGAGTTCCACGATGCACTCCAACCAACTGGCGTGCTGCAACTGTCTGATACCCACTTTACAAAAATGTTGAAAGAAAGGCCTGTTTGTGGATATTCTGACCTGCCTTCACTTAGGGCGGTCACATGGCTGGTCTGCCTTCACTTAGGGCGGGCAAGAGGCTTGCTGGGGGCATATCCATGTCGGCAAGGCCCCTTTGAGGGCTCAATCCTCACATATGCCCCCGAGGACACTATCACAGGGGGCTGCTCTTACCAGCCCCTGGGATAAAGCCTGGGGATGTTTTTTGGAGGAAAAAAAAAAACAACTGTGAGATCCCCAACGGTTAAAAGAACCGCCGAACTGTGAGATGAGAGGGGCTCGCCCCCGTCAGATTTGAACTTAATATGAACAAATATTATTTCCCAAGGCTTATGTGACAAACGGCAACATTGTTGTGTGTGCCATTTTCAACGACTGGGCCAAAACACCCCAATTACCGTCTTCACCCGAATAGGGCGCAAGGTCATTATAGTGGTATCTAGACCGACAATTGGCCCAACTACAGCTGCACTGACTGTGCATTCTTTTCAGGGAAGATGGTGGCAGCAGAACGGTAAGCTCAGGTGACGTGAGCTGATTCCTTGCTTGCTCCATTGTAAGCCATCAACTTGATGGCGACAATGGATCTGCACAGTTCGTTTTGCAACCAGGTGCATGCGCTCACATCGGATGGAGTAGATCCTCCTGCTAGTGGAATGTCAGCCCTGCACCCGAATATAGGCTGTCAGGGGGTTGCCAAGTTCATGTTATAGCCCAGTCAGGGGCCAAACGCAAACTTCCATAAACTGCTGACAGGGGCAGAATGCAAACATTTAAATCCAAAAGGGCATTTCACAAACTTCCAAAATTTCAGAGGGGTATTCCGCTTTGCCCACATCTTTTTGGGGTATTTTAGCACATCCACGAACTTTCAGGGGCTTTTCAACAAACTTCCCTTCACTATTTTGCCAATCAGTTCAGACACAAACAGAAAAACAGACCAAAGTAGGTACCAAACACAATCAGATTGTGCTGTTTACCTGGCATCACCAACGTCGTTATGTTCCCCATATCGAATGCGTCCGCATAACGCCTGGCCCAGCGGGCCACCGTCCCATTCGCATATGCATAGAACCTGGACAGATAGTTGAAGTAGGAGTAGATGCCCAGGAGATAATCTCCAGTTCCAACGTTTTTTGCCAAGCCCCCAACGTTGTAGGCGATGTCGGACAGGTTCTGGAAGGCCACTGGCTCCTGTATGGCAACACCATACAGGAAAACCGCGGGGGGTGCCGGGGTCTGTGGCGCAGTACTATTGTAACCCTTGATGACTTGGATAGCGTTTTCCACACCCACCTTGCCGAAGGTGAAGACGAGAAGAACCTGCCATCCCCCACAAAGAAAAGAGAAAAAAATGAAAAACACAGAAAAGACAGGCAAGACGAAGGAACAAAGGTGTTAAGGTGTTACTCGTCACCTAGTGCACGTGTTGTGTCCGTCTTCCCACACGTTTGCATTATCCATGACGCATACACACTACTTAGCTCATCTTGGGTCTTCTTGTGCCCCATCACCCCATCCATCCACTTTTTCGAGACTGTGCTCCCTTTGGCCCTGCATCGCCCATCTGGCTCCGTCAAATAGATTTTCCTGCCATACATCCATTGTCAATTTGTCTCCCTTGAGCTTCATCGTCATCCCTCATCCACTTGCTTAGCTCCATGACTTTTTCTTTTTAATGGGCCCAGTGCCAAAGGCTCATCCACTTGCTTGAGAAACAAATACGCGGCGGTTCACACGGGGCGTCGGGGAAGGGGAACGTCCAGTCTTGCGACTCTTGCCCAAGAGCACGGGCAAACCGAGAATGAAAAAATAAAAAAACACAAAGAAAAGGAGCTCAAAGTAAAAAAAAAAACCACGGTCTTGGCCAAAGCACAAGGCAGAGAACGGCGTGCGGGGACGCGTGCGCACACACACACACACACAGAGAGAGAGAGAGAGAGAGAGAGAGAGAGAGAGAGAGAGAGAGAGAGAGAGAGAGAGAGAGAGAGAGAGAG